ACATTGTAAGTTTGCTCTGTTGCCTGGTTAACCCCAAAGGCAAATACAGACAAAGTCTCCTTTCGAATAACAGGTAATTTACACTTCTCTGAAATGTCCCGAATTATAAAACTTCTCATCGATCCATTGTCTAATAGAATACGAACTGGTTCTAAATTATCCTTATCAGAAAATGGACGTATCATCACAGTGCACTTTCGTAGCAACGCAGTGCTGAAAGTTTCGGTTTTTAATTGACAAATCTGAACATTATCTTTACTGGATGAAATTGTCGACATGACCTTGTTTTTCTCTGATTTAGTTTCGTGTTGCAAACAAATAGACCTATTGTGTTTTTTATTATATATTTCGCACATTTTTCTTCCCTTACACTGCTTAATTTTATACTGAGATTTAACGCACAAAAAACATCGGGCTTCATTTTCCAAAATATTTCTTTCCTCCTCCACGGTTTTAATTTCACAGCGCTCCGAATCGTGTAGTTCGTCACAATATATGCATTTACTGCTAGCGACTGGAGCAACATATTCATACGTTTTAGGCGAACTTCTTTCAAACTGTTTACTGCGCTTGTTGTTTACATTATCGTGAGCAGATTGGAGAGGATCGTTTGATTTATGCCTCCAGTTATGAATCATTCCCGCTCGGTGTTTTATTTTTGTTTCTCTACTCTCATTTAACTGAGTAGCTCTTTCGCGGCTTTCTATTTCTTTACAAATAAATTCCATTAATTCGTTAACGTTCCATGTTTGGTCACTGTTTCTACTGCGACTGTATTCTAATGTTATCTCTGATGGAATTAATTTTAACAATATTGGGCAAAGTAAACTATCGTAAGTTTCTAAAACGACGTTCATTGACTTAAAGCATCTAATTTGAGTTTCACACTGATCATATAAATTCCCAAGATTTTCTATATCCCTTACATTTCTAACAGGGAAAAGATTTAACAGTTTATTCATGTGAGCATTTATTACCAAATCTTTTCTCCCAAACCTGTTAGTTAACAATTCTATAGCTGAATCGTAGTTCTCATTTGTAAGCGGGAGTCCGGAAACGGCATTATAAGCTACCCCACCTAGTAATGACTTTAAGTAACTGAACTTATTTACTTTCGATAATGAGTCATTGTTATGGATAGCTGCCTCGAATTGACTCCAAAATTCCTGCCAATTGCTAGAATCACCAAAAATTTAGCGATAGTCAATTTTGGAAGGCGAATAAATTTTATTATTTTTCAAAGTTTGGAATCTATAGCGGTTTCATTAGGAATGCTCATACTTTCCTTATCCGAATTTTCGAGTTTGTGTAATTCCCTCTTTTTTTTCTTGCTCTAAATTGCCACAAGTTGGATTTTTTTTCTTCATATTCTAGAGCGGATGAAACTTCAAGTTCAAATTCATCCTCTGGGACCTTCAAATCACTGTTCTATTTGAGTGTTTAAATCACTCAGAGTTTTTGCCTTTTCGTTTAATATGTCTAAAGTTTCTTCTATTACATTTATACTAACGTCATCTTTGCTTAATTCTGTCTCAATTTTCTTTAGTACCTTGGACACTGCGGTCCTTAATACTTTGTGTTTCGATTTAAGCTTAGCGACAGGGTCTTCCATAATTACTTTAAAATAGAATACTTATCCTACCTGTTTGCAGGCTTCGCACACTTCACACCGTGCCAATCCTTACTTACGAATCCATATTGTCGAATATTAGCCGGCTTCCCCGCCGATGCACCAAAAAAAATGTTTATGTACGTACTAATGTACACTAATCGAATCACGAATGTCGCTGCCTACGCATCTAACTATCTAACGACGTATCTAAATGCCACATCTAAATTTCTGCAAGCGATGGTTCAGCTATAATTCTGTGATCAAATACTCAATCTAGTTTTAAAAGGATTTATTAAAATACTAAAATTAATCTAATCTAGAATCTAGAATCGAATCTAATGTTACATCTCAGGAGCAGCGTTCTAGCTGCGTCATAACAAATCGAAAGTCAAGTTCTCATTGTTGCCATTCTGAGGCAGAGAAAAGTTTGTTTCTAATCAAACCGGAACATCGGCAGAGTGAAAGTTTCTAGTCAAACCGGAACAGATGCCATGAATGAATGATGATGCCACTTTCTTCATTTGTCATATCATCCAAATGTCTTCTTCACCAATATTTTAAATAATTTAGTTATCTAGAAATGCTTGGTCTGCCCGCTAATCCCTTAGACAACGCCGAGTTTACCTGGGCGCTCAGCCGGTTCTTAATAAAGTCCTCAATGAAGGTAAGCTTTTGTTTCATCTTGATTATTGCTTAAGAATTAATTAAAGAATCTTTTGAATTGAATTTCGATGAAGTGAAACTATATTTTTGCCACCAGAACTTATTGTGTTAAAACCAGAACTTTTGTTTTGAATTCGAAACTGAATTTTTATTTTATTGTAATAACTTATTCATCACTTGTGTTAATGAAATAGTTAAATTGTGACAATGTGAACTCTAAACGATGTACTATGTATAGTTAAATTTTTAAATCAGCTTCTCGCAAGGAATTAAGTTACTGCATGAATTTGAGTTTTGTCAAGAAGGTGACCGTGGAAATCGCAAACGGCTTCGTGAATTCACAGGACTGGATAGCTCTTTTCACACTGCCGAAGTTAAGGAACGCTTACTAAATATTTTCACTCTGGCAGATCTAATTTCGTTTCTTAATGTTCTGAATTTGAATGTGCCATTTCCGCTTATGAATGTTATACTACAATCTTGAATGCTTTAACTAATTTTGATCTGTTATTAGAAACTACTATTACCGAGCCTGATCCCGACAGTGAAATAGAAAACCCAGAACAAAAACTAGTTCCCGAAAATAAATCACAAATTATGCAGTTAATTTCGAACTTGGCAGCTAGGCAAAACGCACAGACTTCCAGCTCCGATATTTGTTTATATAAACATCAAATAAATAATAACCTAGCATGTCATCGATGGTAAATAAGCAGCAATTCAGTATAACTTTTCGTGATTTATACGACTGCATTAAACCTTTATTTATAAAACTGTATTAACTTCTCAGTGACTTACTACGTTGAGTCCACTCCTTTTAAGTTTGGACCTGCTCAACAGCATGCTTTCTTAATCTGAAACAAACACTTTGAACCTGTTTTACACCTTTACCAACAAGGTTTACCGCTTCAACTTCATTGTGACGCGAGTAAATACTGTTACGGATCTATTCGCTTGCAACAAAGCACTGGTGGTTCCTTCCATCCAATTTACTATATGAGCAAGGAAATTATCGCCCAAGAAGAGAAATGCTCCAGCTATGAGTTGGAAATTCTAGCCATCATTGAATCCCTTAAAAAATTTCGATATTATTTAGCCGGAACAAAATTTGATATTATTACAGATTGCTCGGCTTTTGAAAAAAAAAAAAAAAAAAAAAAAAACATTAACACCTAGAATTGCTCGATGGGCTCTTTACCTTAAAGATTTTGATTACACGATAAAACACCGCTCTGGATTACTTATGAAACATTCAAGTGCTATCAGTGCTATCATGGTAATTGTAATCGACAGTGTCACTCAGAATATTATTAACGCACAATCAACTGATGACTTCATTACTGGGACAGGTATTTTGATTCCTGCCTGAACTAAGTTATCTTTATCATATCCTGAAGAATGGTTTAAACACGTTGCTTCTGTGCAAAGAATTATCAATTGCACTACACCTGAGCCACCAACTTCACTCCCATTGAGCTACTTTTTGGAATCAAGATGAAAGATTAAGACGATATCAAAAGCAAATACTTGAAGAGGAGCACTTTCAATCCACTTGAAAAGAAAAACCGTAAACGACCAACATTATACAAAGTTGGTAATCAAGTCATACTTCAACGCACTCAATTTGGAACTGGAATGAAACTCGCTCCCGAATTTTCGGACCCTACAAAGTCACAGGTGTTATATATCACATATTATACTCTATGTTATATAGCATACAACTGGACATTCTATTTAGTATTTATAACCTCTATACGCCAGATTTTTTTCTTTTTTTTTTTTTTTTTTTTAATTATTTGAAAAGTCTTTTTTTCCCTCTACATAGAATTTTATACGTACAAAATTTATTAAAATGTTCAATTTTTCTCCTTCGCCAAGATGTTCCAGATATGCTCCTAAAGACACTTGAGAATTTAAGACGGTCTGGAGAAATAACTTTTTTTCCCTCAAGACGTTTTAGGATGATCCATCGACACTCAAAGAAGTGACGTTTCTTTTTTTTCCTCAAGACATTCCAAAATAATTCAGCGACACTCAAGACTCATGACGTTTCTTTCTTTCTTTTTTTTTCTTTCCCGCAGGACGTTGACGGATGATCCAGCGACACCCAAAGGAACATTTTTAGTCCAAAGGGGCAATTTGCCCTGAAGGACTATTGATTTCGTTTTGGCATTTTGCGTCGAAAGCTTTAAAAGGCTGCATCACTTTTCAAATGGTTGCCACCATATATTATTGCCCTGTCTTATATTTAAAGAAATTAAATAATCAAAAGCCTGCATAAATGTACCTCGCATTGTAGAGCCGTACGTAACGGTACGTAGAGCCATCAAAAATTTGAATAACGTAATCTTTCATATAATATGGGCATGCGGAATCCCTAACTTGAATTTGAAATTTGTTTTATTATCGATTTCAGATTTTGTAATACTTCAACGAATTTTTGATTAAAAAACTAAATGATTTCAAAGAGAGCAATGGCAACACTGTACGAAAAAAAAAGAAACATTTTCATCTCCAGCGCGCGAGACTCTGTATCTGAAATTCTAAAGATATGCTCATTTAAAAATTAGTTTGTGGTACTGCTGCTGAATTGAATTTTATAGTTTGAGTACTTAGAACATGATATTTTAAAAAAAAGGTAACACACAAAACGTTAGAAAAACACCCCTTTAGATATAATTTAAAATCTGAAATCTTTCATATTTTTTTTAATTACTCATTTTAGATTTTGCTGTAACTCCATCATCACCAGGAGGGCCTGTCGCATCAGGATGCCCGACTGTGAGTATCAGGAGTACGACAACACAACACGACTGACAAACAGCGAGAGAGTGTAAGAAGTACGACAACCCAACACGACTGACAAAGAGCGAGAGAGAAGGAAAATGGAATAGAAGATGTGTGGACGATGGAGTTAAGACGCCATGAACGAATGATGATGAACACTTTTTTCATTTGCAATTTTGTTCATCTGTAAATATCATCCAAATGTAACAGTATTCTTCACCAATATTTTAATTAAATAATTTAGTTACCTGGAGGTGTTTTGTCTGTCTGCTGATCCACTAGACAACGCCGAGTTTACATATATAACAATAAAAATGATATTGGAAAGGAAGCAAATTGAATTTATATTTGTTTTATATTTGAAATCTTAAGTCTAGCACCCTCTAAGACATCCTTTTACTAATTTTATAATCGGAAAATCAAGAAACGTAAATTATGCAAATAATTCCATTTCCGAAGGACCCGGTTAAGGTAAAAACATGACAATGCAAAGGAATCATGGATAAACAGCAAGTACATATCACAGTATTACATCTCTGAAAGAAAGCTACATTTCAGTAATAATGCATATTTATATTAACATTACAATATCTAATAAAATACCATAATATCTACTTTCCTTTAATTTGAATCCCGTCCGTTCTTATTGTTGTCTCTGTTACTTCTTAGATCTCGAATTATCTATGAATAATTAGGGAAGGTTAACGAAATTGTCGATCGGCGTAATAGTAGACTTGCCAAAGACCAGTCGAATGCAGTAGACCAGTCGATTGGCGAAACAATAGACTGAATGTCGGTTCGCGATTAATTCGCCGCGATGCGTCCGTTCTTGCTTTAGGTTGGCATAAATTTCAACTGTTAAAAGCGAAAGGTTCAGCGTGATCTTCGCAGTAGTTTTCGAAGGTTTGTGTTTGTGAGTAAGACGAAAACAATTACGAACTGGACGAATCTATTTTAAAACTGAGGTCTGCTCGTTCTCTGAATGCATTGAGGAAGGAAAAACGTACCGGAACATTTTTGAAATTTTCAGAAAACCTATCGCTAAAATGCTAGGAGGGAAAAACGCGAGGAAATACGGTATGTTGGCAGATTTCAAAACGTTTCAATCATTTTTTACATACGAAAGGCATTAAAAACGAGAATAAAATTATTTATCGCAAATGAGCACTTTCCCTGCGATGATATTTCTTAAAAAATTAAAAATTTTAAACATGTTTAACAAAGTAGTTGCAGAAAGGGCAACAAATCTACCTCGGTAGATGTTCGAGAGCAGCTAATTAAGACTTCGTGTTCTTCAACTGACGGGCTACAGTTGTGAGTAATGGCTAAACAAACGGCATTCATTACGGAGGCGCACTAGTGAGACAGACCATCTTCCACCTATCAAGGTAATCTCCTTGGCAACGAGACAACATCTTCCATTATCAGCCTCCCGGGATTATTTTTTTTTCCCGTCCTGCAGCTTACCGCGTTGCCATACAGAGAATGATAACTTTCTCTACTAGAATTCTACGAAACATGGAACTATCTGGAAGTATGATCACATTGTGAAGAAAAGTCCCGTTTGCTGGAGTTTTTCAAAAGTCTTTCAACCGCCTAATTATACCGTCGAGAATAAAAATTTAGAAAATTTATAACTCAGAACAGTTATAATTAATCTTAGTTTTGTTAATTTTAATTAGATGGAGAAGGTGACTGTCTATCTTAAGTGTTAAATTTTTTCCCTAGGAAGAAATGTTAATGTAACGAGTCCGTCTGAAATAAGATATAATTGCAAAGAATTATAATTTTAATTACTTAGATAAACTAGATATTTGTTCGGTCAGCCGCCTAAAATAATAGATAGATATATATAATCCAGAGATAATTAATATAATTAAATCCTTCCAAAGTGGTAAACTTATGAATAGAAAAAACAATTACAAAATTGAAATTGAAACAAAATAAAATAAATTCTTTGCTTTTTTCGAGAAGCACCCATAAAAAATTAAAAAAGATAATTGTTAATTTGATAATGAAATTCAGTTAACATTTGGTAACATTCAATAACATTTGATAATGCAATTCAGTTACTAGAAAATCAAAAAAGATAATTGTTTATACATTTGACAATGCAATTTAATTAACAGATTTTTTACTAAATAAGTAAATTATGAAATAAAGAAAAATAACTGAAATTCATTCAGAGAGTAAAGAAATCGCTTTAAATATTCACTTTCGGGATTGGATGTAATAATAGTGTTACAACCAGTATTTTACTTGAAGCTAAAATGAAACAACGAAAATCGCCAATTTGTCATTAAGTGCACTAAGATGGCAAACTCAAAATGCTTTTTCCTCCCGTCTGCCATACATGTTTAAAAAAATGTAGAAAATCGTACCATTAATTTTCTTTTATCATTCTTGTTTTAAAAGATTACGAAAAACGCATTTTATGATCTGTGAAAATTTCAAAACTTTTATATCCTACATTTTCTTAGATGTTGAAATTTTAAAATTACAAACATCAAACAGACTAAAAAGTCGAGTTATTTTCAAAATGCGCCAAAAGCTCAGAAATTAATTACAATTTTCATGCAAAGATTTTTTTTTTTTCGTTCGATGTTGAAAACAATAAAATTCTAATACTTTTAGTTAATATATTAAACGAACATATGTACGAAAATATCGTTTAAAAATTAAATTAAAAAAATCTATGTAGAATTTTGAAGAAAAAAAAATCGCTTCACGACGTTTCATTATGATCGACCTTCAGCGTGCTCAAAAAATTTGAACTGGATAGCTTGTCCAGAAGTGGGTTAAAAACTGATAACAAAATTCCGTCCGTTATAAGTCAACGAAAAATATGCTTATTAAAACAGAAATCAATCACTACTAAGCTGCAGAAAATTCTGCGCCATTTTAAGATTTCGTGACTGTCGCGTCAGCGATGGAATTTATTTAACGCTTCGAATTTGATCATCAGACTCTTCCCAGTCATTTATTATTCACAGACTTAAATAAGCTTGTGCCCTCACATTAGAGACGCATCAAAAAGTTGATAAATTGCCGAGAGAAATTCTTAAAATCAATCGCGCAGCGTAGAATTTCGTGCCCTGAATGCATTTAAACCCAATCCAATATTTATAGTAAATCTAAAATTCCTATTCTAACTGTTCTAATTCTGTTTACAATTTATTGTTTACATCAAAGTCACTTAGAAGTAAGTAGAAAATAGAAATTCTATTTAATATTCAGCATTCGCCCACTGTTTGTTGACAAACAGGGAATATTTTGTTTATTCAAGAAGAATTTGTCACTTTTTTTAAGCTATGATATATTTTATTTGCTTTAACTTGTGATTCCATCTTCTTAAAGGTGCATTTAATTTCTATCTCTGTATATTTAAGTAATTAAAAATCGTCATGTATGTTCTTCGGATTGTGGAAAAATGGTGGAACCTAGACTGCCCTGAACACATTAGTCCTCAGCCCGAACACGGGCATTTAGAAGCCCGAAATTTGAATTTGTTTTTTATTTATTTCATATTTTTTTAGAATTAAATAAATTAATTAGTAAACTATAAATAATATAATATAAATATAAATTAATTAGTAATGTGCTACTGCTCGACAAACAAGATGTTTATGTTAAAAATTTGTGTCAGAAATCTCAGCGATTTAAAAGAAATGTGTTTTCAATCGGCAAATCGTATCGTATTTAAAAAAATTAACATCGAGTAGTGACAACAGATTGTCATTACTCGGTGTAAAATACTGTTACGAAATTTGTACATATGTGAACAATTTTAGTGAAATTATATGTAAAGTTACAGTATTTTTTTAGATAATGTAACATGAAAATCTAAAGGAACGAGGTATGCCCGAAAAGTAAGAAAACCGGAACAAGTCTATTTATCATTGAGTAGATGGCTATCTCGCTAAATTGGCGATAGCTTTGACGATTAAATTTGTCACCGAATTTGGTGAAAAATGTAGCACCAAAAATTAATTTAGCGCCAAAAACAAATAGCCGTCAAATTTGGCGAGAAATCACTAAAAGTCGCCAAACTTGGCCATCTTTTAGCCACATTTTGTCCGGTTCCAGTATAACGGTACATTTTTGTCCGGTCCCAGTATAACTCATTTTTATTACAATGAAAATGAATAAATGTAATTGATCCTCTATGTAACTGTAACAGTATCCGATCCTCATATAGTTTCCAGTAATTTCGGGAAGTACTAGAGCTTTCTCGGCGGCTGGGGGAAAACTACATAAGACCGGAAACAGCAACAGTTCCAATGTTATTAGTTCAAAGCTGAGTTCCGAGGATTGAGATATTCGTGAAAGCTTCGCCGTTTAGATGGCTTTGCAATGTGTTGTGTTCAACATTCTTAGTTTAAGTGTTGCTACTGAGTATACGCTGTGGTACTATAAGAACTGTAAGACTATTTTTGTGGAGAGTTTCAGGACTGTGAAGTATTTCTTTTGATAAAATAAATTTTATTAAGCTATCGTGGGTTCTGTGCATTAAATCTATTACGAACCCGTACCTACGCAATAGTACTTTTATCTCATAGGCTCCTGTGTGTTACCAGTCGACGAAGCATAAAATATTTCATTTTCTTTCTAGTTTAATCTGTCTGTTATCAATGAAACTAAGCGATTTCGAAGAAATAAACGCAGAGTCTTCTTCACTGTTATTACACTCATGTCCAAATTTATCTTTATGTATATATATATATATATATATATAAAAACATAATACTCCATGAAATATCCAATCAATGTAATCCATTTTTGCCAATGCGTAAAAGGCAAGCCTAGGTAGCATTATCCAGTTTCACTTAATACGCCGAATAACGATTACTGCAGGGGTTAAAGTAATAAGAATCAGGGTAATATTCATAAATTTTTAGGCCTAGTTTCGAAGGTTGGAATATAGAGACTCCTTTTACAGCTACGAAGTGCAAATGGCGAAAGAGAAGCCAGTGATAAGATAAGGCAACAAGAATGAGAGGAAGAAAGTCAAACTACTGGCACCACCTAATGATGAAAAATTAAAACAACTATGGAATAATTTCCTTAAAAGCTGAGGGTAAAGATGGATTGGAATTGGGATCATTAATTGAATCTTGATCAAGAAGTGGATTACTTGAAAGTAGGTGCTATTGACAGAAGCTTTTCACCCAACATTATTAACCAAGCGCTTAAAAAATTCTCATCTCAACATGTCAAAAAGTA